CTGACTCTGGAATCACAGCCTTAATTTACCGTGTTACCCAGTTTTGCCAGCCTTGAAACTCAAGCATCACCCACAACTGCTTTTTCTTGTTCGTGCTCTGTGACCAATTTATTACCAAAGGGTCTCAATTCTGCCTCAGAAACAGCTCTCACATCTAGCCACTGTCACCCCTGCCACAGCCAATACTTGGTCTGAGGCCTTGTCATCTGGGCTACCTAACAGCCATTTTTAAACAGTTTTACTAAGTACTGCTAATAATAGCAAACACCTATGCAGTGCTTGCCATGTGCCAAGAACTGTTCTACGAGCTTTCGAGTCTCACAATAATGCTATGAAATAGGTTACTATTCCTGTTTCAGAGAGAAGGAAGATGAGAACAGAGAGGTTAAGTAACTTGTCCAAAGTCACACAGCTGGTAAGTGGCAGATCTGGGATTTGACCTCTGTCTTCAATTTGTGGTCTGTCTTCAGAGACTCTACTATTAAAGGACTAACGCATACTGTTTCTACTCTTAAAGGACTAATGCATACTGTTTCTGTTTTAATTTAACCCATTATTACTTTTAGTTGTTGCATTTTTTTTGGAATAGGTAAAACAGTTAACTCATTCAAAATTCAAAAGCTACAGGAGGCTACATACTGAAAGACGTGTGCAGAAGGCTACCTCCCACCCTGGTTCCCTACCACAGGCCCCTGTCCTGCAGGTACTCAGCATGACCAGTTTCTTCAATAGCATCCAAAGCAAATGTTTATATGTTACTATGTTATTTTCCTCCTTTTTTTCCTCTTACATAGAGTATATTGGATGTAATTTGGCACGTTGCCTTTCCCACTTAACAACATATATTGAAGATCATTCCATATAAGTGCATGAAGAGCTTCCGCATTCTTTTTTTCTTTTTTCTTTTTTTTGGAAAGATTGCAGATGGTTGAAATGAGGGGTGGGCAAACTTTTCCTGTAAAGGGCCAGATAGTAAATATTTTAGGCTTTATGGGCTTTATGGTCTCTGTCGCATATGCTACTGCTGCCTTTTTTTTTTTTAAACCTTCAAGAATATAAAAACATCCTTATCTGATAGGTTGTACAAAAAAAGGCTGCAGGCCGGATTTGGCCACAGATCATAGTTTGCTGATCTTTGAACCAAACAGGCTCTTACCTCGCTGCCCTGCATCCTGTCCTCCCTCACTCTGGCCCCTTCTTGACCATTCAGAAAGAGCTCTCTTCTTATCACATAAATCCAAAGCTGCCACTGCTCCCTTTAAAGCCTCTACGCCTCTCCACTCCCAGCAGGTGGAGGTCCAGACTGCTGAGCGGTGCCTACAACGCCCTTCATGATCCCTGTGCCTCTCTCCTCCCCTCCCCTCCCCGTCTACTGCTCTGGTCCAGGCCACTATCAGCTCTGCCTCAACTCCTGCAGCGACCTCTTTGCCCCACTACTACTACACGATCTCTTGCCACAAATCCACTCCCTACACGCCAGTGTAGTCCCTTGGATCGTTTACAAGTGCAAATCACATCTGGGAACCTCTGATAGCTTGTTGCTGCCCTAGAATGAAGTCGACTTCTGTATCATGGTCTACAAGGCAGGCCAGCTCCACTCGGCCCTCCTGTCAGACCTCACTGCCACCATCATGCCTCCCTCCACTCCCCACTCTCCAGCCACAGTGACTTTTCCGTTCCTCAAACAAGCCGAGCTCATCTCTGCCTCTGTGGGTGCTGTTCCCTTGACTGACCTGTTTTTAAAGGTCAGCCTCCGTTCAAATGACACTTCCTTAGTGAAGCTTTCCCTCACCTTCCAACCTAAAACGGCCCCTCCACTGAGTCACCAGGCTTTATTTTCTTCATGGTCCTATGGCTGTCTATAATTATACCTTGGTTTACATTAGCAGGCTCTCTGCTCTGCTAGGATGGGTGGGCATCTCTGGTGCCCAGCACATTGCCTGACACACATTAGATGAACACTGAAAATTTTCTGATTCAACAATGGAAGAATTTCAGCCCAATTTATTTTTCCTAGTGGATTTCTCCTCACTCCTCACCTTATATTTGTCTTTAGTTCCCCTGGCTTTCTCAACCAATCACTACACAGGAAACTCCCTCCTAAGCGAACATGTCATCTCAGTCATCTCCTCCTTCTTTGAGTGACAAACTCCTACTTACCCATCAATACCCAGCTCAAATGTTACCTCTTCTCTTAAGTTTTTACACTTTCCCTTGCCAGGTCAATTTCTTCCTCTGGAAGGCTCCCAGAGCACTTTGTATAGACCTTCCTGATCACACTGGGACATAATGATTTCCCTACCATAGATGATTTTTTATTAGCTTATCATACCCTGAATACTCTCAAATTTATATATATTTCATTTTCATTTTATCTACAATAAGCATTTTACCTACAGGGAAAGGACATTTTGGGTGCTGTTTATATAAGTAGGTATGAACACATAATAATATAAATAGCATCATTTAGCTCCATGCTATGTGCTTTATGTATATTATCTCATTTAACTCTCCTAATATCCCTAATGAGGCAGGTACTATGGCTATCTGTACTTTGCAGATAAGGAAACTAAAGTGAGGTTGGGTAACTCGCTCCTGGTGGATCTGGAATTCACTGCTGTCCTGCAGGCAGCTGGTGGCCTGGCTCTTTGAAGGTCTGTGTGCCCTTGAGCTCTCAGTGTAACAGGATGGTGCCCAAATCTGCCCTCTTACCCTGTGTGAGACCTGGGGACACAGCTCTGCTCAGAGAGGGGTCAGCTGGGACTCTGTCACTCCCCTGCAGCAAGGTGCCCCGTGTGGGGGACACAGATGTCCCTCTGCCAGCCAGATGGAGAGGCACGATGATGAGGCTGCCCCCTGCACACCTGTGACTGCGCCACCCCCAAGGGCAGCCAGGTATCCTTGGGGCCTGCTTCCTGCTGCCACATGCTGCTTATCCATGTGGACATAAGCTGCTCTGCCGGCTCACCCTTGAGCTAATACGAAGGGACCGAAGGGCTCCTGGGCAGGAGGGTGGGAGCCTAGAAGGCAGAGGAGACAAGGGCAGAAGGAGCTGCCATTTCTCTATCTTTTCCTTTAGCCATTTCCCCCCCTCCGCCCCAGCTTTACTGAGGTATAATCGACAAATAAAAATTCTATCTATTTAAGGTATACAACATGATGATTTGATATACGTATACCTTCTGAAAAGCACAGCAAAGGAAACAACAAATGAAAAGGCAACCTATGGAATGGGAGAAAATATTTGCAAATCATATACCTGATAAGGAGTTAATATCCAAAATATATAAGGAACTCAAACAACTCAATAGCAAACAATGAATAACCTGATGAAAAAATGGGCAAAGGGATTTCCCTGGTGGTCCAGTGGTTAAGAATCTGCCTTCCAATGCAGGGGACACGGGTTGGATCCCTGGTCAGGGAACTAAGATCCCACATGCTGCGGGGCAACTAAGCCCATGCACCGCAACTATTGAGCCCATGCGCCACAACTAGAGAGCCCACACACCATAACAAAGATCCCTCGTGCCCCTACTAAGATCTGATGCAGCCAAATAAACACATAAAGAAATAAATATTTTTTTTAAAAAATGGCAAAGGACCTGAATAGATATTTTTCCAAACAAGATGTACAAATGGCCAACAGGTATATGAAAAGGTGCTTGACATCTTTATCCTTTCCTTTAAACAAAGAAACTTTCCTTGCACTTTTCTTCAGGGAATAAAGGCGACAGGCAACAATGAGCAAGTGTTTGTCTAAGACATACAGACTTCCTCTGTTGCAGAGTGTATCCCGGTATAAAGGAGAAGAGAGTGCTGGAATGGATTTGCTGTGACCTGGCTTCATTATCAGCTCATCAGGAAAATTCTGCCTAGAGAAGTGGGTCACAAACTTGAGGGGAATGCTACTCAAAGCGTGGTTCTCGTACCAGCAGCATCAGAATCACCTTGGAGCTCAGGAGAATCGCAGACTCTGGGCCCTACTCCAGACCTGACAAATCAGATCCCCCAGGAAATTCCTAAGCACATTAAAGTTTGAGAAACACTGACCCAGGGTGACTGATTAAAATGTGAGTTTAGGGCTCTATGTCTTCGAAATTCTGATTCACTTGAGGAGGGTGAGATCCAGAAATCTAACAGGCACCTCCTACTTTTTGCTTCTGCCTACTTTTTTGAGCAACTGTGGTCTGGAGGCAGTGCTGCTTGGTGGAAATAGTACAGACGCTGTATTTAGACAGTCTTGAGATCAAATCTCATTTCTAATAGCTACAAACTAAGTAATCCTGAATAACTACTTCATCCTGTTAAGCTTTAGCTTCCTCAGCTATAAAATGGAGATATTAAATGTCTATACCTTCAGCTGGATGGTTTAAAGCGCCTAGCACCAAAGCCGTGGCACACAGTATGTATAAATGTTAAATGCTATAGCCATGAGATCAAACTATCCAATGGCTGCAACACTGAACGGTGGACTGGGCCAGAGTACTGATTAATTTCAACTGCAGGGACAGGGAAGGCCAAAGGGGGCTAACCAAGGTGTGATGGCTGTGGTTTCTCTGTTACTTAATCTTGGCCCTAAAGGCAGAGAAAGGATTAGACTGCAGCAGTGATCAAACTTTATCATCTACTAAGAATCACTAGGGAAGGGAGTTTAAAATGCTGATTCCTGGGTGCTGCTTCTCAGAGATTCTGTTTCATCGGGTCTGGGATATGGGCTAGGGATCTACATTTTTATCCCCAGGAGATTTGATGCATGAGTCCTCCAATCTCACCCTGAGAAACAGTGGCTTACAGAATATGTGTACTTATTGGATAAAGAAAGAGCCTGACGCATGTGGTGCCCTGGCTGGTACTGGGAAATATACACGAGGATGGATGACTCCACCTGGTGTCCACCCAGCTGGGAGCTGGGGCCTCCAAGGAGAACGTTAAGTCTGTGCTGCTGTGCTAGAATATCGACGCGAACGGCGGTCCGGAAGAGCAATGGAAAAGAGGCATACCTGGGCTTCCGCAGCTTCAATGCTGTGGGAGAGATTTCCATTTTGTACAGGTTCCGAAGCATCACTGGATGGTGTCATCTCCACTTCTGTGCTGGTGCTGTTTGGGAGCTCAATTTTTTCTGTGACATAAATCAGGCACATACAAAGAAAGCAAATGGAGTCAAGTAGGGGTAAGAGCCATATAGAGAAGAACACTCTATCTTGGGCCAAGGGAGAAGGTAGTGGTCTCTGAGGGGTGATAAGGCCCAGGGCTGAGGTAGTGTCAGATGGCAAAGGATTTCTACCCTTCTCCTCCATGCCTTTTAGCGTACTCAGCCCTCTTCCTCTCTTTACTAGCTCTCTGGCATCCTCTCTGGCCTGATGTCTGAGCTTGAGTGCCCTATCAACTCCCAGGGTATGCATTCTCTAGACTAGGCAAACTGACCAACTCGCCATTCAAGAACATGAGCATGGACTTTTTTTTTTTTTGCGGTACGCGGGCCTCTCACTATTGTGGCGTCTCCCATTGCGGAGCACAGGCTCCCGACGCGCAGGCTCAGCGGCCATGGCTCACGGGCCCAGCCGCTCCGCGGCATGTGGGATCTTCCCGGACCGGGGCACGAACCCGTGTCCCCTGCATCGGCAGGCGGACTCTCAACCACTGCGCCACCAGGGAAGCCCTCATTTTGCTCTTTTTAAAGTTCCCCTGGGGGTAGGTGATATATTGTGTCTATTCATGCCCTGTACCCATGAGCGGGAAGTGGGACTCTTCCTGACACCCAGGAAAGGGCTGAGTTGCAGGGTTCTGTGTCTGCACTGAGTTGGAGCGTCCACACTGGGTCCTGTCTCTCTGCCCCCCTCCATGTACTTCAGGAAAGGCACGGGATGGAAGTCTCCCAGACTCACCCACATGATTAGCAGCCCCATTCTGCCTCTCGTTCTCATCCACCTGACATTTTTTCTTGGCGATCTTGTGGAGAATTGAAGCCTTTTCTCTGAACCTCCCTGAAGCAAGAGAAAGTAATGGAAAGGAGACAGGTGAGAAGGAAGATAAAGAGAGAGGCTCATGGCAAATGGTGAAGCGCTGGTGAAGCAGGAACATGGCTTCCTCAGCTATGGAGCCGGTCAGCAGCAACCACTCCTTTCTGCCCAGCCCAAAGGCCCTATGACCTGCAAGAAGGGTACTTTCTTACCTTGTGATTCTTCAGCCCAATTCTCTGAGAATCTCAAGCTGCCGGATCACAGACGAAAGGTGACCTCTTCCCTCCCTCCCAATTGCTTACAAAAAACGAAAGCACCAATCATCACCGAAACTCCCTCTACTGCTGAGGTCTGAAAAATACCATTGTCAAAGTAATCATTTCAAACAGCTGTTACCACAAAAGTAATGCTTCTAGAGAAACAGAACTGCTCTGGAGGCATAGCCGTGTCTCTGGAATTATATGCTCATCCCAGAATTGGCTTTTGACCATGGAAAGCCAAGTCCAGGGGTCCTTTGATTTGACTTTGGTTTTCAAACATTTATCTTAATTAACACTGCAATTTCTACAGGAGTTGGGATGCATCACAGCTTTCCGAATTAGCTGAGTCAGCTGCAATTAAAACATCAGGGAGGCAACTGATTCCAGTTGGGGATTTAGGGTAAAGGATGAGCAAATAAGCACAGCAAGTAATGTCTGTTGGTGAAGAGATGCTTAAGGAAAGGTGCTGGAAAAAATACCATTTTCAAAGTAATCATTTTAAACAGCTGTACCACAAAAGTAATGCTTCATTTCTTCTCCATTACTGACATAACTAATGGGTAAATACATGCAACAAGCACGGAAAAAAGCATGCAAAAGTGTAGAGATTACTTTATGTGAAACATAGCGCATTTTTCTTTCTCTTTTAATCCTTAATTTTTTCCCCCGGGAACGTTCAAGGTACAAAGGAGCCTCACTTGAAACTGACTGATTATTGCCTAGATTCAGATATGATGAGTCCCTGAAAATATCACAACTCCTACAATTTTCCCACTAGGCATTGGGGGTTGGCTGGGTTCTCTAGCAGCATATTAGCAGAGGAGCTCATTCTACTTTTCTAGTTAGACCAAAACCAAGCCAAATCAAACCCCAAAATGTTTCTCTTGGAGAGCCTGTCCTCCTAGGATGGGGCATGGCAGGTTGGCATCCGCACTGCACCCCTCCTTGTGAACGGAAATCCTGGGGAGTGGTCATAGAGGTGACTTGTGTGCCTGGCTGGGGATGACAGAAGCTGTAAACTAGACTGGGACCAGTTGACTTCAATGGTGAAAATGATGGGGGACAGAGCCCCTCCTGCTTGCAAGCTCCATTAGCCTTAAATCTAGATGCCTGCTACCATAAAGGTAGCCTCCAGCAGGTAAGTACCTTAGTCTAGGTAATGAATGTGCCCTGCTGGGCACACCCTCCAAGGAAGCAGGAAGAGGAACATGACGCAGAGAAAACTGGGTCAGTATGTGGCTTGGGCTTCATAAGGGATGAGGAGGAAGGACTAGGTGATGGGCATGATGTCCATCCTTGAGGGATGCTGAAGGTCAGCATCAGGTTCCCCACACTGGAAGGTAATTTGAATTTGGCTATTTCTATTTAATCTCCAAGGAAAACTCAGGGAATAAAAGAGGAAAGGAAAGAAGTCTGGGGACTAGGAGAAGGAGGAGGTAAAAGGGAAGAAGGAAAAAAAAAAAAGAAAAAGGAGAGAAAAAGAAGGAATTCAAGAAGGAGGAAACAGGCAGGGAGCTGGGATTGTCTGGAAGTTGCCAGGGAGCATGGATGCAAGACACGTTCCTGGCTGCCAAATCTAGTCTTATTTGGGGAGTAGATAGCTGGATAATGAAGAGTGATTCTCAGCATTTGGCAGCCTGAAGCCTAAAGAGGGGTACTTCTCGTGGAAGACAACCCTAAGAAGTCCTAAAATCGTCTGCTGGAAAGGCAAGAAGAGGAAAAGGGAGGTTCTAAAACTTTATAGAAGGTGATGATTCTAGTAATAATGCCACTCTGTGGATTGGGGGTCTGTCTTTGAACTTAGAACATTCTGCAGCTCTATGATCAACAATTGCTATTTAAAAATTATATGTAAAATGATAATAAAGCAAGAGAGCATTCAGAAGAGGAAACAAACAAGCCTGGGGAAATAAAACGTGAAGTAATCCAATCCAAGTCATGCCCGAAAGTCATGAAACACGGCAGAGAAAAATATTTGATAGAAAGCAGTTAATCACATGTTGTGTGTGATTCCAAGGATCTTTTCAGAGCTCAGATGAATGCCAGAGAGAAATGATAACAAAAGGGGCCCCAAAGCGTGGAAGGGTTTGGCCACTCCCTCTGCCAGGAAACACCTTTCATAACAGTGTTGGCCACTGTCACTCGTGGGCTGGTTTCCCCAAATTCTCTAAAGGAGGAGTGCGAGGACAGGGTAGGGAAATGATTCTAGAATTGGGATTTCATAGGTTCTCAAACATTTTCACAGACCAGCAAGGGTTTTCTAGACTATGTGTCACCCATTTTCCCACTGCAGGAGCACCTCAGATTTTCTGTGCTATGGAAAAATGGGAGGGATAGACCTTACTTGTTTTCTCTTGGGGTTCAGCCCTTGGGCAGCAAGGCAAAGCTGCAGAGGCTGCCTGGGGAGCAGCTCTCGTCCACCCACCCCTTCAACTTCTTTAATACAACTTCTGCCCCAATTTGCAGGACCTGGCAGCCATTCTGCCTTGTGAGTGCTGACAATGGCTGCTCCAAGGCCTAAAAGGATTTTCAGAGATTAGTTTCTAGAAAAGCAGCACACAGCAAAGGTGAAGGCCCACCTTTCGAATTTAGCACACAGGGGAGTTCCTTGAGGTGGTGGGGCAGAGCCTCGCCAGCAAGGCATCCTCATCCCAGTTCAGTGGACACCCCTGGAATCACCACAGGGCACCTTTTGAGAAAAGCTGGGAGGATCGTGCTGACGGCACAAGAGTGAGCACAGAACATGTGATTCTCAAAGGGACCCTCTGGGTTTGGGGGTAGGAAGACCTGGCACCTTGAGGACCTGTTCAGCCTGAAGCCACAAGCTGGGAGAACACCTCGCAGGATGCGTGTGTGTCGAGGACAGCACAGTACTGTGGTTAAAAGGATGTGATTTCGAGGCAGCTAGGCCTGGGCTTAAGCCCCGCCTCTCTCACTGGCTCTGCTGGCTGAGAACTGGTAAATACATGAATATTTCTGAGCTTCAGTTTTCCCACCTGTTGAACAGGGATGTTAACGACTGACTCCCGAGCTAAATGCAAGGCTTAAGTGAGAAAATATGTGTAAAGGACCGATCACAGCACCTGGCAGACCTCTGTAAATAAGAGGAAAAAGAAAAACAAACCAATGGACAGCCCAGGGGCAAGGGTGACGTGGCCCTGAATTGCTTTAGAGCAGCTGTCCCCAACCTTCCTGGCACCAGGGACCGGTTTCATGGAAGACAACTTTTCCATGGAGAGGGGTGGGCGGCGGTGGATGGCTCAGGCGGTAATGAGAGCAACGGGTAGCGGCAGATGAAGCTCTGCTCACTCGCCCGCTGCCCACCTCCTGCTGTGCGGCCCGGGGTGGGGGACCCCTGCTTTAGAGGAATCGTTGGCATCGTCTCTTCTCTCAAGCCACACAGGCGGGACTGGAGAATTAGCTGCATCTGACCCGACAGTGTAAGCATTGGGGGCCTTGTCGGATTGGTGTTTAGTTTTCAGTGAGTCCTCCAAAGTCAGTTCCAAAACCAGTTAGGAGAAGGATCGCTTTACACTTTCCCGAAATTAAGAAGGTCAAGGTGAGGGAGCTGGCCCTCTGTGTTTTAGATACCTTCGTGATCTTAAAATGAAAAGATAGTAATCAGCTTTCTCCCATTACCTGTGAGGATAGGGTACAGGGAAGAGCTATTGGTGTTGCACAGTGGATTCGGGGTGGCTCAGAAGAGCTTCCTGATGCACAAGGGCTTTACCTCCTCTGTGTCTCAGGCTCAGAATTTTTAAATGGGGATGATAAATAGAACACCCAGCTCATACAGTTGCTGGAAGACTTAATGGTTTGATACACAGCAGGTGTTTAGATGGCCCTGACATACAGTAAATTACTCAGAAAGGGTTGTCATTACTATGGAAGTGAATGCAGGACCTTCACCCCATAAATTACTGAAAAGAAAAAGCTTGATATTTAAAAATAGAATGGAAGCTTAGCAGCCTCCGGTGCAAGAGACCTTGGCAGTAAAGGCACTGCTTCCATAGACTATTTTAGGCATGGATTCCACGTTGGCATAAGGGTTGACATGGACAGATCTAAGAAAAAACTGTAGCTCTGTGCCTGGGGATAAAGAAGACAATTTTGAGCACTTTTCAAGGTGAGAGAAGGAGTGATTTTTAACATTTTTTAAGGCAACTTTAAAAAACATACACTGCTGCAGTGTGAACCCTTAAAGTGCTGTATCTTTATACAGCGACAGATTATTTGTATACTTAAAATCTCAGGAATAGCAAATTCTGCTCAAATCGTGAGGCACCTAGTACGTCAAAAACTAGTACACAATTTTAATACCGTTTAGCTTGCTCTGAAATTTGCAGAATACCAGCTGAGTGTCCTCAGGGGACTGTGCGTTGAGGGGGTGCAGCAGGGAAGTGTGGGAGAAGATCGAAGCAGAAAGGCCTATTATGAATAGGAACAAATTTTGGAAGAACAAAATTTGAGGAGTCAAAATCCTCAACCAATCTCTCCGCCATAAAACAGAAGCTCTAAGCCGCTTCGCAAAATAACCTTCGGAGGTTCTGTTTACTCAAAGAAAAAGCATTTTGCTTCTGTTTCTGCTGTTAATTAATGAAAACAACCCCTGGAAATTCCTTCACATCTTTCCCACCAAGTAATCAGCAGCGCCGGACAGGAACCCTTTGGGCTGGAGCTAAGATTCCCTCCCGGCTGCCATGAGCATTCTGAGCATCAGAAACACAGAGGAGATAGGACCAAAGAGATTTACAGATGTAACGG